TGAGGGGGACGATGGGGAAAGGTTGATTGCCTACTGCAGCCGTACCTTGTCAAAGGCCGAATGCAACTACTGTACGGAGTTGCTGGCCGTGGTTCACTTTGCCCATTACTTCAAGCACCATCTCCTCGGGAAACGGTTCCTACTAAGGACAGATCATGGGTCCCTATGGTGGCTATTAAACTTTTGCAAGCCTGAAGGACAAACTGCACAGTAGATCCAGAGATTGGGATGTTTTGAGTTAGATGTTGAGCATTGGGCGCGGAGGATGCACGCAAATGCCGATGCCATCTCCAGGATCCCATGTGGCCAGTGCAGGAGATCCAAGGAACTGGACCATTAATGCTACATTGGAGGAGTCTCTGCTGACCGGCAGGACCCATTGGCCAATGGCGAGTCTCACATTAGCAGGGAAGAGATGTTGTTGGGCACAGTTTGTAGCCCACATAAGGCCAGTAGGCCAGCCGAACTCTTAGAGACCTGGGACTGAGAGAGGTTAAAGAGGGAACAGCACAACGACCCCAAGCTGGGAATAATTGTGCAATGGCTCAATGATGGAGGCCCCAGACCCAGCTGATGAGATGCCTCCGCACTGGAAGAGAACATTAAGTTCTGGTGGGATAAGTGGGAGACACTGAGACTGTTTCAAGGTGTCTTGCAGGTCAGATGGGAGCAGCCCAACAACCAACCACCGGCCTGAAAGATTGTGGTTCCACAAGTCAGAGTCACGTACCTCTTGCTCTTGGTCCATGACAACGAGACTTTGGGTCACGGGGGGAGGGGATGGTTGGAAAGCTTAGGGAGGCGTCTGTGTATTGGAAGGGGATGAGATGCCAGGCAGGGGAATTGTGCTGGAAGTGCTATAAGTGTGGGTCCAAGAAGCCACCCCTACTGCCTCAGAAAGCTTACCTTCAACAATATCTGGTGGGGGCCCTGATGGAGCGCTTAGCGAACTAAGGCAGGAAATACAAGCATTATGGTTGTGGCTGACTACCTCACCAAGTGGGTTGAGGCCTTTCCGTTTCCTGACAAGGCTTCAGAGACCGTTGCCAGGGTGCTTGTCGAGGAGGTCATTTCACGCTTCGGTTCCTCCTTTGAAGTTCGCACGGATTAGCGGAAGGAGTTGGAGGCAAACCTATTCAAAGGCGTTTGAAAATTACTTGGCATCCACAAGACCCACACTACACTTTTCCACCCCCAGTCAGATCCTTTATGTGATGATGGCCTACCGTTCCTCACAGCACGGCAGCACTAAGCTCATGTCGAATATGCTGATGCTTGGCCGAGAGGTGGGACTTCCACTGGATCTGGTGGTAGGCCAGCTGGAAGAGCAAACAGAAGTGGCAGTATACGGGTATGTAGACTGGCTGTGGGCAAGGATCGAGGGTGCCCCTGAATTTGCCCTTCGCCATCTACAGAGGAGTTAAGTGTACCAGAAACATCACTACAACCACAAGGCGGCGGGGGCTGGGTATGAGCCCAGGTAGCCGGTGTGGTTGTACACTCAGCCAGAAATGTGGGTCGCTTGCCCAAGCTCCAATGCTGGTGAAAAGGCCTATTCCTGGTGTCAAAGAAGATTGATGACGTCACAAGATTCACATGTCCCCTCGGTCCTGAGCCAAAGTGGTCCACTACAACAGGCTGAAACCATACTTTGGCGACATGGAGGTGAGCTGATGGAAGCGAGTGGCATGGCAGCCTCAGCCGGAAAGGACCACGTTGCGACAGGAGGACCACTGTCAGCATTGGAACAAAAGGAGCCTTTGCCACCCAGCCCCTTACCGACACCTACCCTGGATGACCTACCAGATGATGGGGATAACTTGGTAAGTGGGGACTGTTTGCCAACAGCCCCAGGTGAACAAGAGATGTTACCGTCAGACATGCCAATGGAGGCTTCCTCAGATAGGCAGAGTGCTACAGGACTTGGACCTGCTGCCGCAACTAGTGAGGCCGAGATGGACTCGGCACCAGTTTGGGGCCAAGAAAAAACCTCTGAGGCCGGTGAAGCCTACCCCATAGACCCATTACCAGTGGCATCAGCACAATCAGTTTTCTTGGTTTTGGGCAATGTTGCCATGGAAAAAAGGATAGGTCATGCTTGTGAAGGAAAGGATGGTGGCGTATGAAATAAACGGTGAAAAATTCCATGAGAAACTAAAAAAAGCTAGGCATGTAACAGAACCAGAGATGGTCAGTGTTACAAATTCTCTTTAAATACATGTAGTAGGGGTGCATGCCACCACTGAGAGACATTCTTTAAACTCAGAGATGCGGCTTCATTGGGGACAAAATCAGTCCCTGGGAAGATGGAATGTTTTCCAAAACAGGGACTTTTTTTCAAGTGGGCTTGGGGACCTGCCATTGCCATAGGGTCTGAATTCAGCAGAAGAAAACACCCTATTCTAGGCTGCTGTTTTAAAAAATTCTACTGTTTACTTCTACTATTCTAGGATTACATGCAGAAGTCTGCAATGGGACATGGGTGGGAAAAACGGTAGTCATTACCTTTAGCACTCAGTTCATATAATCAGATAAAAAGGAAACAAAGTCCACTTTTTCAAACTACATGTAACAGATGTATTGACCTTGAGAGTCCATTCTTTAATCCTAATAGTGCTAGTTGAGGTAAATTTTGACAGTATCCAAGTAAGAAAACCCCAATTTCCTCACCCGAGTTTTGTGAAAGATGACTGCTAAGTCAGATCAAGCCATTTTGTTTCTCATCTGGTTTCCCGATCCAGCCTTTGTGGATTTATAAAAACACTCCATCCAGGTCAAGGAACCAGACATCATTCGCTATTCCTCTTTGTTCACAACTCTTTGGTGCAGTGTCACAGTACGGTACACAGCTGTTTTACCCCATAATTTTCCTCAAAAACCAACAGTCCTGTCCTCTTTTCTTCCTGGTATGAAAAGGGAGATCGTCGCCACCTTATCTAGATAAATTGTTTCGAAAAGGTAGACTTTATTTCCTTATTACAAGAACAGGGTGCTAAAGGTAATGATTACTGGAAAAAGACTGGATCAAAACAATTTTTCAAAATATCAATCCTTTTGTTACCAAGCAGTGTGGAGTCAATAAAACTAAAAAGGAACCTGAAAGTAGCTTGAGCCAAGATGACCAAATGAAACGAAATACATGTAGTTGAGAGGATTGTGTGAAATGCAGAAATATAAATAAATGCAAACTACTGAACACACAGTAAATGGTAACAAGTAGAGAAGAAATTAGAAGTTTCTTAGCACAGATTTTATGGTCACAGTGCAGGACAAGATAAACTCCATTATAAAAATCGAAATGTCACTACAGGAAAGAATTTGCGATTTGCAAGGCCACCATAGAATAGTGGATCAGGTAAAAACACCTGCAAGAAGTGAATCGAAAGATTAAGTATCCGCATAAACCTATATGTGTAGACTTGCAACATACACAATTTGGTCCAAAAATTCACATGACAAATTCATATTACATTTCTGAATTTAACAGTGAACAAAGTTACTAATCATACCTTTAATTCAAGGAGTTTTACAAGCCTTGCATCTCAAGATGACAAAATGAACATTGTCAGCAAATTATGGTAACATTCGGTAGTGCTTGGCTATTGGATTTCAAGAGGTAGGCTGTGATTCCAGCAGACAGAACTCAACGTAACAAACGGAGATAACAAAATCTGGATTAAAGAAAAGTCTGTTCTTCAGGCATGGCTGTTGGTACAGGAATGAGCTCATACCCACATGTGTGTATTCTTATGGGAGAACCACACTCTAAATGGCAAAATAAGTTCTAAGAATCTCAATACATGTACAAAGGACAAATTGGAAATGCATACCCAAGGTACATGTCAAGAATGTGGCTGTACATTGTAGAAAGTTCAGTACAATGAATTTCTTGACCAAAAAGTACCATACGTAACCTGTCAACCTCACCCAAGGGAAGGCTGGTTACACTTTACATACAGTAAATCAAATGATATGGTACAAAGTTTATATAAAATAATTTAGGAGGCCTATATGAATTGAGGAGATGGAGTAAAAATTGATAATAACATGTGGGTATAAATATCCAAGCCCACTTGGGAAAAAGTCCCCCGTTAAGGAGACAATCTCTCTTAGGGGCCTGCTTTTGTCAAAAAAACAACAACAACAACAACAAACCGGACTTTTCTGAATTTAAGGACAGTCTCTGAGTTGTGATGTGTACCTCTACTGTCAAATCTGATACTCCATATCCTTAACCCTATGCCCAAACCTACCTAGTACCCGTAGCAAAAAAAGGTTGGGACTTATATACTCATGAGGCTTCACACATCAAAGGCGGTCATTAATTCATAATTTCTACAAGTCTCCTACCATTTCTGTTCATTAAATTCTCATCTCTATTTTGTTGTCCGGACACTGCCATTTGTCGTCATTACTCTTGTTAATCGCTAAAACCTTGCACAACCCCAGTGGTTGATGACTTTAGAGGGTGCTAACAAACTACATGTACATTTTTGTTGGATTTGATGGTGATATCCCTGCTGCACCTGTGAACTGACTTGTTTTTGCCAATTTAAACTGATCAAATGAATCTGCATTGGCTGGTTCATACAGGTATTTAATACAAAAATGAACACTAATACAATTTTGTAATGAGAGACAGAATTTAAATTGACTCTTTGAATTTGCAAAAGTTAAACTCATTCTAGCTCCAGTAAATTTTGCTGCCAATATTTCTCGACATCGTTTGATTAAATTTTACAGTCACTATGAATTGGCCATCATTCTGAAACTTTTCCCCATCATATCCATACTATCCATGGATTAAAGTCCCATTTTACCAAAATGTGATTACTTAGGAACATGTTTGTGCTACGGTAATTGTACATGTACAGTAGATCACAGATAATGAACATGAAAAAAACTGTCTCTGCATAATCAGCCGATTAAAATATTTTTTCCTTTCATTAGGAAGTTTTACCTTTCCCATAAATTGTACTTTGTCTTTAATTCACACACAGGCTGTATCCAGACAAAAAGCCAGTTACAGCCATTTATCATTGTGCTGTAGAAGATAGGATACCATACAATGAAGCAGTTAGTCGTGAATTTACCAAAACTGAAATTGGAGAATCCTTTGGACCAACGTAAGTTGTCAAGTTTGAACAAGTGTTAAGTTACTTTTGCGTGCACATTCATTACAAATGACCTGGATGACTTCTAGTAAAATTGAAAATTCATCAGTGTTTACAACATGGTGCTGCCTGTAATTCCACTTTAAGCCACATTTTGTTCTGTAGGTTTCACAACAAATTATGACAGTTCACAAAAGTTATGCAGTGCATAAGCTAGTATGTAACTTGCATTACAAATTGCATTTACATATACTGTATGCTATTATTTCAGGTCAGGATTTTTGTTTAAATACTCGTTATATTCTTATTGATATATTGTCATTAAAGTGTTATGTAATGGATTGATGGTGAGGCAGTCAAATATTTACAGAACACAGGTGCAGACAAAGGCAACTTTTTATGACTCATTATTTTTTGTATGAAGTATTGTACAAATTTTACTACGTTTAATGTTGGATAAGTACAAGTAGTTGATGTGTATGGAAAGGGTGTGAGTGTAAAAATAACTTCTCAAAAACAGAGACAAAATCATAACTTGATGGCATTGATTCAGTGTGATGGTTTCTGTAATGTCTGACATATTTGAAATGTCATATCCCAGGCTTGACTGTTATTAAAATTTGTTGTATGATCTTTTCTACAGCTGGGCAACACATTGGTTTAGGATTGAGTTCATCATTCCTGATGAATGGTCCAATAAAGAAGTGAGATTAGCTTGGAATTCCAACTCAGAGGCAACTGTAAGCTTACATGTACTGGTAGATATAATTATTATGTAAAAGAGCCAAAATGTCTCACTCTCTTTGTTACCTGAAACAATTATAGCAATTTTGAAATCGCTTTATTATGTAAATGTTAGAGTTAGGGATCAGAAGGAGGTATTTTTTGTTTTTGTTGGCTGTTGTTGTTTGCATTGATCTGTTTTGAGGTTGTGCCAAATTTTATCAGCATTGTAGTAAGCAATGTTTTTGATGTGAAACTTGACCTATGCAGTTCTAAGTTCTCTCTCGATATCCCATCTTCGTGTCTTTCTATTTAGGTCTGGCAAGATGGAGTACCTGTTCATGGATTGGATAAAGACCATCACACAGACTTCCCTCTGTCATCCCTCCAGACTGGGTAGGTACACGTACCTGTTCGTGGATTGGATAAGGACCATCCCACAGACTCCCCTCTGTCAGCCCTCCAGACTGGGTGGGTGCACGTACATGTACATGTACCTGGACTGGTGGTGAAGGGGGTACTTACTGTCACTCTTTTCCTTTTTTAAACATGCTACAATTACTATATTTGAGTCAATCAACATAATGCTAATTCACATAATGTTGTAATAATCTAACTCAAGGTATCAATTTTTATTTTTGCCAATGTTAGTGTACAACAGAGACTGTTTATTGAGATGGCATGTAATGGAATGTTTGGTGCTGGCTCTGGTTTGATTGGACCACCTAATCCCAACATGACCTTCAACCTCAGCAAAGTAGAACTTGTGACCTTTGACCGGTTGGTGTTTGACCTCATCTGTGACATTGAGACTCTTGTGGATATGGTCAAGGTGAGATTTCATGTAGTTTTCATAGTATTGCAGGATTTAAAGAGTTACCAGGGGTGTGATTTGTCTGGATTTTTCCCGATTTCCATAATTTCTGTGAGACTATCCGGAATTTCTGTGAGACTTTCCGGATTTCCATATTGTGAGTGCTTTCAATATGTAAAGCAAAGACTACAATATTTGGTGCGAAACTAAGTGAAAGAC